TAACCTTTAGAGCAGTAGGAAGATAATGGAGAGAGGCTCAAACCAATGAAAAGATCTGGTCTCGGTAAGAGCACCATCAGTGGTGCCAACAGCTGCTGAGGAAGAGCTAGACCTAAGAGCTGGCTGAGAGGAGGGCATTAAAGAAGGGGGGAATATGGGCTGGAGAAGGTTTGAGGTGGGACTGGAGGGGAGGATCTCCCAACAGCGATGGTAATGGCAACAGTTAGAGGTGAGGTTTGGGATGAGAGAGGAAGACAGAGTGAGGCAGGATCTGGAGAGTGGCACTAGGAATGAGCGGTTGAGTATTTGGCTGCGAAGTCTATAGAAAAATGAAGAGTTTTTTTGATAGCTATTCAGGATCCAAAAAGTATGACAGTACCATTCATTGTTCTCTTGCTTTTATAACTGTGTCATCTAAAAACTCGGTTTCTGTTTTGTGGTTGTTTAGAGTCTGCCCTTTGTGAGATATTTTGCACAATGTAGCCTTCAAAATCGTCCTCCTGTTTATTACTACCCCTGCTCTTTTTTTTCTTCCAAATGTCATCTATTTCATTTGAGAATTGTACCCTGGGGTGCTTCAATTATGTATGAATGTGGAGTATTTGGGATGTGCTATTCACAAGTGCTTTCAATTTGCCATCTGAGCTTTGAATATGTGCAAAATCGCCAATATTTTAGTTTCTAGGGCACTCTTAAATGTGCAGTCAAGATGCAGCTTTTGTTCCTAAGTGCTCGGGGTTTTTTTACCCAGTTTCTAGTGAGACCTTACGAACCTTCCGCATGAATTTTCCATAGAGTAAATTGCCAGCACAGAGCAAGGAAATTCCCGTTGGCTTGTAGCACAGCTGTCTACTCTGAGACCTTCCGTCCTCTGGTGGCGCTCTCCAGCAGTCTGCCTCTGTAGCCAATCATACTTGGTTTGAGTTTCTGAATGACAGGTGATTGACTTGCCTCTCATCTGTCAACATGTGAAATCTGCTCAGAAGTGTGATGTCTTTTCTGATTGCCTCTGTGTAGGCAAACAGTCTTTCCAGAACAGTTTGCACTGTTTTTCTTGTTTTGGAAGATCTCTGCACAGACTTCACCCATACCCTGTCGTTCGGCATTCAGGTATATTGATTGATACCTACTTTTGCATTTGTGATGGGAGGAGGCAGAAGCAGTTGTAGGTGGAAGGAAAGGTGAGCCAGAGGCTGTGAAGGTCTTTTCTTGCTGTCAGGCTTTTAAAGGGAAGAGACTGTTAGGATACTGCATGAAGACTGAAGGCAGAAAGGGTGAGTTAAACAGTGTGAGAAGAGAGAGCTGGGATTGTGCACACGGGATTAAAACATGTTGGATTGAAAAGTATCTGTTGCAGTAGGGCTGCAGTAGATAGAGAGAGAGCAGACTTGAATGTGTAGCTGTTCTGATAAGAAACAAATAATTGAGGGATGACTAGAGAAAGCTCCATTTCTGTCCCAGCACTGCAGGATAAAGAGCTTCAGCCTGTAGTTGCCTCCTAAGACAGATGATGTCACATCTATAGAAGTTATCCCATTTGGTGCTGTAGAGTGAATGGATCAGTAGCCACTAGAAACAGATACACAGTAAAAGTGATCTCTGCAGCTATTCAAGAAGCATTGCTTTGACTGTCACCCACAGAAGCAGAGAATGTTGCTGCCAACATCTCCATCTGTTGTCCAGCAGCAGTTGTCGAGCCTGTACTTCTGATGACATTTTACTGTTGGAGCACATGGAAAGGGCACAAAGCTCTAATGCTGTCACAGGGCAAACCAGAAGCTCTAGTGAATAGTTTAACAAATATTTTTGGGGAGCAGCTTCTGACTGCACCTGTGAAGGTCTTGTAGCCAATTTCTGGCAACTCTGCTTTTTCTGCAGACTGCTAACTGTTTAAATACCACTTCTGATGCATTACAGAGCTGGGGGGAATGCTGTGGGCTTCAGTAGGCAGGATCTTAATGATTTGAGGTAGAATGAAGTAAGCTGGATGAGAGGACAGGGAGAGGGAAAATAAAGGCCATATGGGATCCTAGGCACTTGCAAGGATATTTGAAGCTACGCCTTTGCCAGTTGTCTGTACCCAGCCACTGTTTCACAGCAGCCTTAATGCCTTCCAACATTATGCTGCCGTCGCCCATCTTCCCAACAGAGCTGAGCATGATAAAGCTTTGAATCATGTTTCTCCAAAAGAAGAAAAATTGTGCCAAGAACAAAGGCTGTGCTTGGATAGGCAGGAAAATGCCCAAGGAGAAAAAAGGGAGATATATTTAACATTGGAAGAGGAGGGAAGGTTCAGTAGTGGGTATGGACATTCTGGTAAAGGGCACTGGGGAGGTGAACAGAGCAAGGGGGTATGAGAATCACAAGGTGGCCATTACAAGGACTCTTGAGATAGGGGGGAGTGCAGAGGCAGGGTGCCAGGTGCACAGGGAACTCTGCTAACAAAACCTATGGAGTATGTAGCATCCTAGTAGTAAAATAGTGATATCTCAGTAGTTGCATGGTGGGCATGCTCTTTAAAGTAGCTGCTTGCAGACCCAAACCAGCCCATGGCGAGGGACCAATTGGCTCACCAGCAGACTGTCTCATCCCTTGGGGGATACTCTATGGGGAACATGAAGTGAGCATGCAGCAGGAGAGACTCTTGGTTGGCTAAGAGTTACTGCAATAGGGGAGGGAAGGTGTAGGACACTTTCCTAGACTTAGAGATTCCTGTTTTGTTTTCAGCTCAACTGCTAATCCAAGGTCAAAACTAATCTGTCTGCAACTTTCGTCACCACTGCCTTGTCTGTAGATTTTAAAGGCTTGATGTGTGGTCTCTGTGCTGACATACTAGTAGCCTAATCTTAATTCCGATGACAACAATCATGAAATACCTTTTCTGTAAATTTGGAACAATCTGCCCTTTGTATGCATTGCACTGTTAAGCTGCTCTCTTGAGCCCTGATTAATAACCTAAATTACTTACCAAAATTAGCTAGTCCTCAGCCTTAGCATTGGGAAAAGCACAAATCTGACAGCTTTCGAAAGTGAGTGGAGCATGGTCAGGGAGTCTACAAACATTCCTGCCTTTGTCCTCATCTGGAAACTGTTTCTATCAAAAAAGGGATTTATTTTTTTTTTTAAGATAAATCATATATATTTAAGACTTCCTTTTAATATGTGCTGTACTTCTTTTTGGAATTAGTGTGTATGCATCCTTGCACCAACTGTGTTCTTTAGCATATCAATTACTTCAAAATACAAATTATGTCTCATTTCTCAGAGATTTCATACATAACACACTCCTCTGGGGTCTGTTGCACGATGCATGAATTGCTAGGGAATATTACATTAGTATGTCTAGAATACCAGTGCTGGCAGATACACCATCTAAAATAGGGAGAAGCTGTTTAATTGAATTTTCTTCCCCTCTACGATCATTGAGATATAAATTACTGGGAGCACTACTGCAAACATGGGAGCATTTTTGTTCTCTGAGCACTGTAATGAACTTTCCTTTATGAAGGAGAGTGTTGCTAAGAGAAACAGGTACATATACAGGAAAGCAATGCTGCATGTTCTGGATGGTTGAGGTCTCAAGCAAGTTTAACAAAAGCTCGTTGTGGATACATCACTTCAACAAACAAGGCAAAATTCCTTTTTCCTGACCCTGAATACTGAGCAAGTGTCAGCTTTTTCTCTGACAGGTAAAATTTTCTGGAATTCCTAAAATATTTAAGTATTTCAGAGCCAAAGTCACAAAGGCAGGCCTGGGCAGATTTTTCAGAAAATTTGCATTTGTGTGTGTTTTTAAATCTTTGCAAGTTCCATGGTGTTACAGTACTGTTTGAATGACTGAGCACAGTGTCTGCTGCTTCTCATTTCTCTTTCCAGCGGGTTATTTCTGCTGACTTTTAGACCAAGATGAAGGTCAGATGCCTATTGATTTTAATAGGTGTTCAACTTTGGTGAAAGTTATACTTGTAAAATACTGTCAGTGAAATAAAATCAAAGGCTTGTGTACAAAGGAAGGGTTAAGTGCTTTCTCCCTCTGCATGACAATGCAGAAGACTCCTCTTCTAGAGGGATTGCTTGTAGGAATGAAGGAATAGCTTTACTTCAGTGCTCTTTCAGTTGGTGGGTATACTAGCTGGACTGTGTTTGGTTAATTATAGTCACATTACTAAGGGATAAATGCTCCTGCACTCTAACACAAACATGTATGTCCACCTACAGATGATGGTGACAGCTCTCTTGAAATGCGTAGCGTTGTGGACTGCACAGTAGCAGGCTACACGCTAAAGCTACTGCCGCCTGCTACAAATGAGCCAGGCATTTCCCTATTAACAGCAGCATATTGCGCTGTACCCTGGTTCCTGGTTCAATCTGGTTTGGTGGGTTGTCTCTAAATCATGATCTAAGTAAAGGATCTAAGAATTAGCGCTGTACCAGGAGAGTTTGATGAGGATGTTCTGGCTGGTTGGGTATGTGTATTGCTGGCTTCTCACATTTATGGGGGTGCACGCGCACTTGTGTAGCAGCCTAATGGTTGCTGCCAGCAGAAATAAATCTGAACGTTACTGCAGTGAGCTAACAGGCCATTTCCTTCTGGTCATCTTGTAGGGGCCTTTTTTGAAGCTGAAGTTCCCATGCTCTCCTTTTGCTGGCAGCATTAAAGCCTATGCAGATTCAGTACATGTAATCTCAGTTATGACTTGAGTCTTTTCCTGCCAAGCAAACAATCTTCAAACTGCACAACAGTGACAAGAACCTTTGGAAGCCCTTAAGCTGAGGCAAAGGACACTCTATTTATCGGTAACTGTGCCAGCTAACCTGAGGTGGTTTTAAAGCAACAGCCCCTTGAAAGAGGCTTTAGATATTAGCAGTTTATATAAAGTATCTGCTGCCTTGATGCTCAGCTTGTCTCCAGTTGAGCTGAGCAGGTATGTTGGCAATTGCATCTGCTCCCTCTGGATTCCTTATAACCTTCTGACTTTTCTTACCATTTCTTGTTTAAGATTTATGTCCATCTCAAAGAAGGGAGTGGTGCTGATGGGCTGGATGCTTTGAAGAACAAACCACAGCTCCACAGTATGGTGGCCAAAAGCCTTTGTCAGAACGCCTCTGGGAAGAACTACATCATCTTCACTGGCCCGAGCATTACCAGCCTGAATCTCTTCGAAGAATTTGAGAAGCAAGGTGTGTATCAGGTGACTCACTGGGTTTTAATGATGACAGACCTAGGGGCCTTCCTGCCACTGAATTAAAAAAACTCCCAAAAGTTTGGAGTGAGATTTGAATTCCTTGTCTAGGTAAGTTGGTGATCTCTAAGAAAAGATCTCATTCATGAAAAGGTACTATGCAGAGGACTTTCTAAGTTGCTCTTTAAGTCTTCTTAAAGTTCAAAATGAGGATGTAAAAACATTTTTAATAAGGGTATTTAAAGCCCTTGCTTTTGTTCTTTGCCTTAGAAATGTGAGGTCTAATCTCCTATATGGCCTGGGGGACTTTTCAAGGGATTTCCTAGCTGCCTGTGTTTTTTCTGTTCCCATTGTGAAAGACTAGGGATGGGATGAATCCTTAAAGTTGTGCCTTAGAAGTTCTTGCTGGTTTAATATCTGTTAAAGATGTGACTTCTCTAGATGACATTTTATGCCATTGCAAAAGCCCTAGCATGGTTCGCTTTTTTTGCTGGTATAAACATGCCTTGGTGGGACAGTTTTTAGTTCTGAAAGCATAATAAACTCTACACTGGCAAAAGCACACTTGCCAGAAGAATGTCCATCGATAAAGCAGTGTGGCTCTCCCAGCCAGTTTCTTGCTAGTGTGGAGAGTAATCCCAGGATATCCTCTCTGTCAAATGCCCCTTCACCTTGGGTATAGAAAAGCCACGTGTTACTTTGCTTTCAGAAATACTGAAGACTTGTGACTCCCACTCTTGACAGTCACTTATAAGTCATCTCAATGTAACTCTCGGCTTGTTCTTCAGTCAACACAGCCTTTCAGAGTCGGTATGGTACGTACAATAGATCCTTCGTAGCAGTAAGACTGGAGGCTGCCATTATGAATCATGTAGGAGGAGGCTACAGGGCCGTTTCCCTTTTCAACACACCACTGACAATAGAGTTTTACTTTTGGCATGTTTTCCATTGCAGAAAATTAAACCCACCTGGGGCATTATATTAATGAAACATGGCCCAAAGCAGGGCGGAAGACTGGAAATTGAGACAATATCTTGATTCTCATTTAAAATGAGAACACCAGTGAGCTGCACCAGTGCTGTAGTTGAGCACTTCAGACTGTGCTGGCACTGAGGGCTATGCCTGTTGAGCTCCATGCAGGACCTAGCTCCTACATTATTTTACGTAAGCTGGAAGCTCAGAGAGTACAGTGGAATACCGCCATATTCTCACAAAAGAGTCATGGTTTCCCAAATGCTGCCAACAGCCAAATGGGAAAGAAGTCAAGCATATTTATAGTGCACTGGAGTTTTTCCTCTGAGCAGAGACTGTTCTTTAGTAAATTACTCTTTTCACAGCTGATTATAAGCATTACATTTTTAAGACTACCAAAGCAATGATGCAAAATGTGGGTTCAAAAAAATGTCGAGGATAACCCACATACTCCTAGTACCTGAGATGTGTCAGGTTTAAATGTAAAGACTGACAGACAAAAACTTGACTGCTGAGTCAAATCCTTTATGCTCCGCTGGGGAAGGATAAAGACAATATGGCGTGACCCAGTTGGTCCATAACCCTGCTGAAAAACGTGCATGGCTACTAAACCAGCTGAGTGTTTATTAGTTACAGATAATTCAAATTGTTCACAGGGGTGAATTATTCATGGTCTTTACACTGAACAGATCAGTCAAGTTAACGGTTCCTAGCAGGTAGCAAATTCAGTAATGTCTTTTTAAAGCATGTAATTTTGACTTACTATCTGATATGTTATATATGCTAATGCTGTACTGAGATTTCAGTTTGGTTCATGGTTTGTTATATGGCTTCATGAGATTTTTTTAATGATATTTGACAGCTGCTTCCAAAATTAAATTTCATATCTGGTACACGCTACCACCTTCCTAGGGGTGAAGCTATGGGGTGGGTGGGGGGTGGACACTAAGATAGCAGGTTTATTGGCTTTGCAAAATAGCATGGCACTCCTATATAAAGAAGATCACAGGGAGGACGTGAAGGTGTTTCTGTTTAATAAGGACATGGGATTGTCTGCATTTGCCATGAGTTACTGGGGCCTAGCTCAGAGGTTTTGCAGGGGGATGTTGAACTGGAAGGACTATGAGACAGTTGGAGAGGTGAGATGCTAGAGATGTCAAGCGGTGGTGAAGTCAGTCAGAACCCTGGAGGACATGGTGTTTACTGACTCTACTGCAAAGCAGCTAATGTATTGCCAGCACCCGCTGGGATCCTACTGCATTGGCAGTACATTTAGGGAGAGGCAAGCAGAGAAGCCTGGACTCAGCAGAGAGATCTCTCTAATGTATACACAGTCACTCTCAGCAATGACCTTAATGCTTTTTTGGTATGTGGCTTAGCCAGCCAAATCTGAACAGGGCCACACCATGACGAAGAAGTGTCATTAGAGCCTGTTGAAGAGCATCTATGCTGGGTTCAAGACCCATTCTTAAACTGATTAATTTACTTTTCTGGTTGAAGAAAATTTAGTTTCTGGGCTAGAGCAGGATCAGTGGTAGAAAGATTCTTTTGAGAACTGAAAAGAAAAAGAAACTGGTATTGACCTTAACTGCTTTACGTTGTTTGAGGGTTTTTTGTAACTATCAACAGAGAAATACGGGGAGATTTAAATAAGCGAACGCTTAGAAACTATAAATTTTTTGGGAACCTAGACTGACATTTAAGGGAACTAAAGGAGATTCTGGAAAATCTAGAAAGAGGCACCCACTAAAAATGTATTAGTTCCTCTCAAAATTCTTGATGAGAAGGACTGGGGGTCTTGGTAGCCAGCAAGTTAAACATGAGTCGGCAGTGTGCCTTGGCAGCAAAGATGGTCAACACTATCCTGGGCTGTGTTAACATGAGTGTAGCCTCATCCCTGTAGATCAGGGGAGGTGATTACTGCCTCCTACTCAGCCCAGTTTTGGACAACACCCCCCAACACAGGAAAGGCATTGATGAACTGGAGTAAGTTCAGCAGAGGGCCACCAACCTGACCAGGGGCTGGACCACATGCTCCGCTATGGGGAGGGAACAGCGCTTGTTCAGCCTGAGAAGAGAAGACTTCAGGGAGGACCCAACAGCAGCCTTACGCTACCCTGAGGAGGTTGTCGAGTGAATGGAACTGTCTCTTCACGGTGGTGCATCGTGGAAGGACGAAAAACAACAGACATAAACGGAAACAAAGGAAGTTCAGACTAGGTGTAAGGGTTTTCCTGAGGACAGTGGAGCAGGAAGCCCAGACAGGTTGTTCAGTCTCTGTCCTTGGAGGTTTTCAAGCCCAGACAAGATAAAGCCCTGAGCAGCGCTGGCTGACCTTGTGGCTGACCTTACTCTGAGCAGGGGGTGGGACTAAAGACCTCCCAAGTTGCCTTCCAACCTCAATTATTCTTTAATCCACAGGATCCTGTGATCCTATGAAGACTTTTGTGGAACCTTAACTATCATTTGCTTTTCCTAACCCCAACCCACACATGCATTACTGCAAAAACTGCAGTATTCTTTACGGTAAGCCTGCTGTGTAGCACCTTCACTATACCATAGTAGAGAATATGTGCCTAGTAATATAAAGGGATATCGGTGAACATAATTCTAAGATCTTTGAAGATACCAAGAGCTGAGAAGACTTCAGAAAATAAGACAGGGCACTTTGATCTTTTTCAAAATCAAAAACCTGAATAGACCTCTCTTTTTATTTTTCAGGGGACATACAAAGCATTTTTTTCTCTGGCCTCTGAATAGAACTGGAAACCTGCACTGAAATGCCCCAAATTCTCTTTTCTGCGAGCAGACAGCTATCATTGTTATTTGCTGTGACATTCATTCATAGTGCACATCTTTTTTTCCTCCTCTAAGCATTAGTGTTGTCCCTTACAGAGGACAGCACCTCCTAAAGCCCTGTGTCCCATGCTTCCCTTAAACATATGATCCCCGAAACCCCCCTTTGCGCTTTCTGAACCAGCAGGAGCAGCTGTCCCGCAGAGTGGCTGGGGTTGACAAAGCTGCAGGAGTTGCCAGCCTGGGAGACCATGGCACTCCCACAAGCTTTCCAGGATCCTGCAGCTCCAGCACATGAACTAAAGCAAGCTCTCATCTCCTCCACAACAGGGCCCGCAGTTGCCCTAGCTCTGACTTGATCCAGCGTTGCATGCAGGATAAATGATTGCAGAATGTGTATTTTTAGAATCATAGAATCATTAAGGTTGGAAAAGACCTCCAAGATCATCGAGTCCAACCGTCAACCCAACAACACCATGCCCACTAAACCATGTCCCTAAGCGCCTCATCTACACGTCTTTTAAATACCTCCAGGGATGGTGACTCAACCACTTCCCTGGGCAGCCTCTTCCAATGTTTAACTACTCTTTCAGTAAAGAAATTTTCCCTCATGTCCAATCTAAACCTCCCCGGCACAACTTGAGGCCATTTCCTCTCGTCCCATTGCTAGTTACTTGGGAAGAGACCGACACCCTACTTCAGTTTGCCTGAACTAGCTTGAGCCTGGCTGCCTTTGCAAATGGTACTAATGAAGATGTGGTGAAACAGGCTTCAGCACAAGCTCTCCAGGGCCTGGAGACCCTGGGAATGAATCTTGGGTGACTACATCACGTTTCCTTTGCTAAACTAGCTTAGGTGTATGCATTTATATTGCAGTTACAGTTTAAGAAGAGCAGAGGAGGACAACCTGTCTCCGTTGACTCCTGTGTATGTGGCAAACACCTGTTGTGATTCTGATTTAATTACACACAAAAACTTCATTGAGCCAGATGGGCATAATTTTTATTGCTTCTATTGCTATAGTAACTGGGTGGTTTTAAAAAACTCTACGGATTAAGGGTGTCATCTGTGATGAGAGATGCTAATAAATCTGCAGAAGTGTTGCACTTTTCTAGGCTATACAGCAGGCAGGTTACATGGTGTGTTCCTGGAGAGGAAATGGTTCCCATTATTCTGTATGAGGAGTGAAACATCTGCTGGAAGCTTTCTGCAGGCTTATTGCCTGAGCTAAAGGAAAGGCTACAAATAATTATTATGGGATCTCAGAGGTGGCTGTTGCTATTTTGAAGCTCTAGCACAATAATGTATTTATTAGCTTGGTTTTATACTATTGCCGTCTCCTGGAGAGAGTATCACCTGTCAGTGAGCCATAAACTTTAGGCAGCTGAGGAAATTCTTCTCAGGCTTGCTTGCTATCAGAGCAGGAAGTTCTTAATATTGGCTAGAAGAAAGCTTTCTAAAAGTTTGCTATGATAATGCCAAAGTTTGCAGGTACATGACCTACACTGTTTGTGTACCTTTTAGCAAGACAAGAAATTAAAAAAAAAAAAAAAGCCTTCCACTGGAGGTGCAGTTCTTCCTGTATTGATTGTAAGTCTGTTGCCATCAGGCTTTTCTCGTTGTCTTTTGTGGAAGGAACTTACAGATTTCCAAGGACTGATTCATTCATTAGAAATAACTGATAGAGTGCGCATTTCCCCCTTCAGAATGAAGTTGCCCCATTGCTGTGTTGGTTGACCTTCTTCTGATATGAGTGTCTTAAATTTCTGATGGAAGAGCCTTAGCTCCTTGTAGACCTGCCCACAGCAACTGGACCAATTAATGAATATTAGCAATTATTATATTAATATTCTTGTAGTATCTGTGAGCTGTTGAGGGGATGCTCAGCATGCCAGGCAATATATGAACCAAGGACAAAGGCTGCACCTGTGCTCAAGAGCTTTAGGTCATTCCAGAAAGACAGAGGCAGAAGAGCCACATAAATCGAAACCTAAGAAAAGAGATAACATGCTCAGGGGAAGCCAGACACTGTAGTCTGACTTAGCGTTTCCCCTGTGAGTATATCCAGTTATCTAGTGTGCAGAATTCAGCATGATGAAAAATTCGATCAAGCAGACTTAGCTGACAGATGAGCTTTAAACTACCACAAGCCTCAGCTGCCGTATGAAAGATGTGCACAAATGTCACCTGCCTCCATGCCCATCAGTTTTTTTCCACTCAGGTGGGTTAACGCAAAACCAAAGGACACCGAGGAAATTTCCATCCAAGATTTCCTTGAGTTCAATTAATTTGATCAAGAAGATCTGCTTCTCTTGGACTAACAGAAACAGGCTGTTATTATTTCACAGCCTAATGACAAATTCAAGCATTGTCATTATTAATGTTGTTTCCAAACCTTGTTTGTGCCCACCTGGCTGCATTGAGGCGTGTTTTGTGGTGTTAGATTTTATTTGTTGCCTCTTTCACATACGAAAGGCCAATTTTTTTTTCCAGGCCAATTTTAAGCATGTGAAGACTATTAGATTATAGATGTTATTGTTGGGAAGATACCCTGAATTCTTCTCCTTGTCATTTCATCATGACTGTGCAGGAGATGTCAATACATTTCATCAAGAGAGCAGGCTTTCTGCACTTGTCTCGGTTTCCAGAGACATTCATGTAGGACACAAATCTTTGGTATTACAGGAGAAGGCCAGTTGGCTAACATATCTGTTGGACTAGAAAGTTGAAGGACAAGCTCTTTCTCTAGTCAGGTCATTCAGACTTGCTCCACTGCTCTTGCTTTCTGGGTCCATGCAATGGCTCGCTGATGGGGAATGTTTTTGTTCACGTGCAGAGATCTACTGCTGTGGGTTGCTGAGTGCCAGGAAGAGTGACTGCACAGGCCTACCTCCATCCATGCTGAACAACCCTGAAACTCCCCAGTCCAGAGGACAGTACAGAATAAGAATGAAGGGAAACATGTCCTTGATCTGCTGGTACAATAAAGGGCACTTTCGTTTTCTGACCAATGCCTATTCACCGCTTCAACAAGGTAAGCAATATTCCTACTGCTCATCTGGAAAGTCTACATGCTTTATGTGACAAGGCAAAAGTCACTGAGTTTGATAATAAGCCTGAACAAAGAGCTTGATCATAATATCTTAGATAAACAGTAGCGATAGCGATGACTTCCCTTTTGTGTCTTCCTACAGCTATTCTTTTTTCCCATACAAAGATTAAAAGCCTACTGCTAATGCAGTCTCCTTTGCTGAGCTGGTGGAGGCAGTATCCTTTTAGGTATAAAGATTATATCTTCGCTGATGGTCAGAGAAAGGAAGATAGTGGTTGTATAACACTATACTAGCCCATTTGCAAAGCATCTTGTAGGATTGCTGCTACAGAAAAATTAATAAATGTTATGATGTAGTTGGAACTCTGAGCAGATCCTACAATTCATTTATCTTATGCAGTAAAAGCTTAGTCACAAACATTTTTTTGCCAGAACTAAATATGATTAAGGCTTCCTGTTGTATGTTAAATTGATTTTAGCAGTTGATGAAAAGAAACCAAAACAGATAACTTGGATAGTTCAAATAATTGCAAAGAGCTTCTTGATACTGAAATCTTTTCCTTTTTGAAAGTATACAGATGGTTTTAAGAAGGTTTGGAAACTTCAGTAAGATGCAATATCATTAGCTAACTCTTTGAAATTCGTCTTTCAGTGAAAACACTGCTTCAGTTTCTCTTTTTTATTATTCAGATCTATGTGTAACTGCCTGAGACAAATAAAAATAATCTAAACCTTTAAATGTAAAGCCACCAATTCAAAGGCATCTTGTATACTCATGTTCTGAATCCCAAGTGACTCTCACATGTGTGTACACGCCACAGAAGCAAAGTTAAGGCCTTGAATTATTGTATGGTAAGCTGAGAAGTTGACTTAGTGTGGTGTTCAGTGCCTTGCCAGAAGTCTCATTACCTCAGCAAAGCATGGCTGATCCCAAGGAATTCTGCTGGGCACCGCAGCAGAGCGAGGACTCGGTGACTTGGATGGACCGGTGTCTGAGCACAAATGCTGAAAATATGTATGTGAAGGAAGTATGACACTTCGGGGGCCCTGCTGAAGCCAGTCCCTGGGGCGGTGTTGCTCCCCATGAGGGGCGTTCACCATCAGGATTTGTGCTGTTTCCCTTGTGCACTTTGCTGGATTCAGATTATTCAGCTGCACTAACTGGGCAAGAGTTAACACTACACGTCACCTGGTTTTTATAGGCTAGCACGGAGCCTTCGGTTATAATTCATAAATATTACTAGAAAAATACTCTGTTTGTAAACGTCAGTGTTAACTGCCCTGTTAAAAGAGAGGGCAAAAGCAGCCTGCGCTGGCAGCATCCTTTACAACCAGCACACGGAGGTGTGAGCTGTTATGCTTGTGATTGACCTTGGGTCTGTTTTGGCATAGATGGGATTGTAGGTTGCATGTGTGAGGTAGTTTAACATCCACCGATTAGGACCTGTGTGTGTGATGAGCAAGACCTGCTCAACACATGGCTCACCAAATGCTGGCTGGGACAGTTGACATAGTTCACAGTGAATCAGAGCAGAAAACAGAGACTGGCTTTTTAAAGAGTGGCGCTGGGGGGAAGAGAGTCTCTAGTGGAAAGCTGGAAACAGATGGAGACTCGGTAGGAAGGCAGGAGACCAGATTGCCTGCCTCTAATTTGGCATCTCTGAAGCCAGTGCAGCAATGCTAATTTAAACCAACTTGAAGCTGGACCACCAAAGTCTCCTCTAAGGCACGTAAATATAGGGGAGGAAGAGCTTGTCTCCTTGAGGCAAGCTGGTAGCACAGACCTGCTGAGCACATGTGTTAGATAGGAGAGGAGGTAGGGACAAAGGGTAATAAAACCCACGCAGGGTAGTTGGACAGAGACTGGCGCCAGTGGGATCACCTGATAATGCATGGTGCGTGTTTGTACTTGGTTGACCGTAAATGTTGACAGGGGTGGAGGAAGCTGTAAAGAGACAACCTTAAAAACAGAAGGCAAGAGATGGTCAAAACAAAACCTAGAATGAGAAAAGAGGTGGATGTAGCTAATAATGAGCTATTTATTGCAATTTAAAGGAAAGTCGAGAAGGTAAATCTTGCCTGTACTCAGAGTGCAAATCCCACCCAAGCCAGAGGCACCAGGAGGGCAGTACACTTGTCAGAGCTGATCTATGAATACTATTCCTAGATGCAGCAGGTTATTTATTATGGATGTTTTTAACCAATGTGTCATAATACATCATCTCAAATGCTAAAGGATGAGTCTTATTCCTTTAGTCTTGCAAAAATGTCCTGCTTACTCTGCTATCAAGTATGAAGTTTCTGCCTAGAACAAAATTCAGTGGGGTTTTTAATTTCCCTTAAGCTTTAACTTGAGTTTAATTTTTCCTTGTGCCTGTATTACAGAAGAACTGAGAAGCCAAAAGAGATTGGGACCCCCAGAGAGTAAAAAATTACCCTATTCTAAAGCAGGTGATACATGTGCTGGCTCAAACCTCCCCATCTGTGGGACAAGGCTGCATTTTTGTTTTTCCACTCTAGATCCGGTGCCCACTTTTCCAGCATCTCCATTACTATGTTCTACAAATAAATACAATCTTTTCTATTTTTCATATGAAGCAGGATGGAGCAGGCAGCAACCTCACTGCATAGCAGGATGACCAGAATGACATCTTTAGCAAAAACTTGTTGAACCCCAGATCTTTTTAAGTAGCAGCTTCTTTCTAAGAGCTTTCACAGCTGCTCTTCACCAACGAGCTCTACTTAAAAGCTAAATGGACAATAGCTAAGGATAGAAAACAAAGCTTGGGCCACATATGCAAGGACTAAAGAGCTGCAAGTGGCATGCGGGCATCTCTCAAGTGACTTGTGAGAAGATGGGAGATGTTGTGGAGGCATTGCAATTGTATGAAGCCGTATAAGTCCCTGTGTGGTTCTTAGCCCGGGAGGAGCTGGAGTGAGGTGTGTCTGGTGACAGTCTAGTTTCCTGAAAAAATCAGCTTGTGAGATTGGCCCAGAACTGAAAAGTCTGGGGAAGGAAGCATAACATTAAAAAGTATGTCTCAGGACAGGGAAGCTTAGGGTTTTAACTCTAAATTTCCATGTGTCCTTTGTGGGACTACATTTAGGGGGTTGTGTCCAAGTATGGTGAGAGTGGGGATGGGGCCGGAGGACTCCGATGGGAAGACCTTGTACATTAGACCTTGTACAATGCTGACTGTCTGCAATTCTGGTAAAGAACTGTAACAAATCTAAGTCCTGATAAAAAGCCATATAGCACTTGGAACGTGCAGTTATATTATGTTATGAAATCTCAGTGCTTGCCAAGGTGGATGCAAGTGCTAGTATTACTGAGCCTCCATTTTTAAAAAAACAGAATTCTAGCTCCTAAAGTCACAGATTGGCTTAGAATAAGTGTTTGAGGAAACAAACATATGTACGCCTTTGTCTTTCTGCTTGTTTCATTTGGGGTGGTATTTCCCAAGCTTTGCTTGACGAGCATATAGCTTAAAAACTTAAAAAAAAAAAAAAAGTTTAAAAAAAAAACCCAAAACCAAAAGCTGCTGCCTGTCTGCGGT